CGCGCAACCCTCTGCGGAGATCGCGCGTGTCGAGTGCGCGAAATGCAGGCGAGAGTGCGATTGGCCGGCTGCCCGCGCAACCCTCTGCGGAGATCGTGCGTGTCGAGTGCGCGAAATGCAGGCGAGAGTGCGATTCGCCGGGTGTCCGCGCAACCCTCTGCGGAGATCGTGCATGTCGAGTGCGCGAAATACAGGCGAGAGTGCGATTTGGCGGATGCCTGCGCAACCCTCTGCGGAGACCGTGCGCGTCGAGTGGCGAAATGCAGGCGAGAGGTGTGGAGTATCTGGGGAGCTGGGAGATGAGCACTGGTGACTTTGTAGTACAACTGTAGTACGCGGAGTAGCTGGGGAGCTGGAAGCTCAGAACTGGTGACTTTGTAGTACAACTTTGGTACGCGGAGGAATCTGTGGAGATGGAAGCTGAGAACTGGCGACTGCGTAGTACAACTTTAGTCCGCGGAGTATAGCTGTGGAGCTGGAAGATGAGAAGTGGCGACTTAGCAATACAACTTTAGTACGCAGAGTAGCTGGGGAGGGGGATGATGAGAACTGATGAGTGGGTAGTAGGTGAGAACTCGCGACTGTATAGTATAACTTTAGTACGCGGAGTAGCTGGGGAGCGGGAAGATGAGAACTGGCGCGTGGGTAGTACAACTTGAGGGCGTGGAGTATCTGGGGAGCTGGGAGATGAGCACTGGCGACTTTGTAGTACAACTGTAGTACGCGGAGTACCTGGGGAGCGGGAAGCTCAGAACTGGTGACTTTGTAGTACAACTTTAGTACGCGGAGGAATCTGTGGAGCTGGAAGCTGAGAACTGGCGACTGCGTAGTACAACTTTAGTACGCGGAATATAGCTGTGGAGCTGGAAGATGAGAAGTGGCGACTTAGCAATACAACTTTAGTACGCAGAGTAGCTGGGGAGCACTATGTCCAACTTCGGTTGTTGCCTTCCTCGCCATGCTGCCTTGTCTCACAAAAAAGGGGTCGGCGGCACCAGGGCGGAGCCCTTACAATAATTAGACTTTTCGTTCAATGAACTCAAAACTTGTTGTTGGCCAGTGTCTGTCCTTGCACTTCCCCAAACTCCCTCAATGCTTTTGTTCAAGCAAGTTAGGCAGCAGGCTGCACCAGCTCAAGAAGCATACGAATCACGACAGTCCCAATCTCTGGGTTGCTGGCAATCAACGGGAAGATGACCCGCAGGAATATGTACACCATTGACAAGAACCTGAGCTGTTCTCGGTACTCTACACATCTGGCATCCGGCACATGGTATGTGACGTATTCATAGGTACAAACACACCCCTATAAATAATCGCAATAATCGCGAATAGAACCTAGATGTAATGAGAATGGTAACTACTTTGTGGTTGCTAGTTCTTGGGCAGTATGTCTTCATCAGAACAAGGCAACATGCATGCGTTCTTTCAACAGTGACTTCGGTGTTCTGCCTCTGTCTCCGTAGAACGCCGGAGTTGCACTGGTGCCCAGGAACTGATAGATGCGCGATGCCGACAGATGTGAGAAGCGCAGTAGGAACTTGCTCATTCCCAGGATCGCACCGGAGAGATCGATGCAAATACTCAGCTGACAAAGAACTCGGAAGTCGATGTCGGTTTGCGTGGAGCACAAGATGCAAATCGGAGAGACCAAGTGGTGGATCAGCGTCTCAGGCTCCATCCTTCACAGACTCGGCAAGAAACCAACGGGGTCTGGAAAAAGTTGTCGAAAGTTGACTTGGAAAGATATATTTGGGAGAGCTATTGAAAGCTCATCTTGAAACAGCAAATTGATATCCTTTTGACAGAACTGAAAAAGCTTCACCGGCGCCCATCTGTAGCTTCAAGAGGCTGCCTGCTCTTGCCAATGCACGGTGCGTGAACTTAATCCATCTAAATCCAGAGATCTGCATACACCTCCGTTAAAGAGAACAACGACAGATCAATGTGTAAAGCAGGATGTCTTTTCCCCAAGATCCAACCAAACTCAAATCCAAAGCACGTGCTGCATGGCTTCAGCACAAATCCCATCTCTTTTGAGGGTGAACTCTCTTGGAGGCTGAACAGCTGGAAGCAACCCGCATACCATCCCAACTGCTATCTTGTTCTTCCTATCCATATCTCCTCTGGAAGCCCAGGCTGAAGCTGTCGAAGACCTCGTAGCCAATCTCCAGGCAAAAGGCGTGAAGCGCCAAGGAGGGCCAGCCAAAGGCCCAGGCCAACATGGCCAGTGACGCCACCGCCGAGTTGTGCACCACCTCAGAAACCCCCGACCGTGGAGGAGAGGTTTGGCTGAAAGGAGGCGTAACAAGTTGCTGCAGAAAACGAACTCCAAAAATGAACAAAAACCTCCATCATGGAGGTATTGGGGGAGTTTGACCCACAACGATATCGTTCGGTTTCAGTTGGGCAACGATGAAAAGGAGCTCTGCACCCGTTCGCTTGCGGATTTGTCTCTTTCTGGCATTGCCCTCCTCGGCAGCTTCTTCACCAAGAAGGACTTCCTTGGAACATTTCTATCAATGAAGCACTTCTCAGTTGAAGTCAATCTGGCAAGAGCTCGGCTCTGCAGAAAGGATGTCTTCAAACAAAGAATCGAAATCAACAAAAAGAGCTTCACGGCTTCTGCATATTGAGAAATAATATTCGAGGGCCACAAAAATCAAGCAAAGCGAGTCAAGGGGCTTTACCAGGCAAAGCTTCCTGCAAAAACAGAACTGCCACAGCTTGCGGTTTTCATGGACGTGAATTCGATGATGTGTGATGGGAGGCAAAAAA